GTCCGCATTGCAGAAACTCTAGTATAAATGTGAGTTCCTACAAAGGCTAAACTCCAGGCCTCTATATTGTCTAGAAATTTCAGGAATCCACTGAATTTTAGTTTTTGGTTTTTTTTTTAAGGGCAGAACAATTAATTGCATAAGGAAAGATTTAACTGTACCTTAAATTTTGATGTCCTTCCAGTGTATCTTTCAAAATGAAAAAGTAATGCCAATAAACTTTTTCAGGGAGAACAGAATTTTATGTTAGGTTTCTCTTATTTCTCAAAGCTCACTCACCTCTAAGAACATGTCTGCCTATTGACTATTAGGCTCTGGTTAGTGTCGGGAGGAGGAAAGTGTTTATACCACCAGGGAACACACCACGTACGGCCCAGGGGTCCATCCTGGTCTGCACCCTGATGGTGGAAATGCGAAGAACAACAGCTGGGTTGTCAGTAGCAGGGCTGCGGCACCTACCAAACTCCAGGATGTACTGATGGGCTTCGTCCACATAGCGGATGAGCTGCTGCAGAAAACTATAGGCAAATCGCTTCTCAATAGAAGGCGTGTCCAAGTCCAGGTCCTTGAACCCTCTAGAAGAGCAGAAGGGAAATATGAGATGCAGAAGGGAACTATGAGATGCAATATCTATGAAGACTATTGGAAGGTGTTTGTGTGTGTGTGTGTGTGTGTGTGTGTGTGTGTGTGTGTGTGTGTGTATCTATCTATATACATAAAATTTTTAAATTAAAATTATATATATTATATATACATATATAATATATACAAACATATATATATATATATATACATTTGCAAGGTTATCTAATATTCTGTAGATAAAGTTAAAAATGAGATTTCACTTATAAGGAATACTTTGTATCTGATACAAAACTGCAGCTAATAACTATTACTATGCAAAACAATGTTGCCTTTAGGAAAACAGAGTGTCATTTGTCTATAGATTTTCCCTAAAATGATGGATGAGGACATAACCTAAGTCGCGAAAGGACATCAGTTATGTGGCAAAGAGCTAAGGGCGTTCATGTTTCTGACATGTGTATCTGACCATGCTCCCTGGTAGCACTGAGTTTTACACAGAACGCTGAATTCATTTCCAGCAGCGCATCTAGTGGGGATATGTAAATATTGGGTTTTAGAGCAAGAATGTGTACGTGGAGCAGGTGTGCTTTTACCTGGACACGGCATACCCGTTGATCTGCAGGAACTTGAGGATGTCCTGGGCTTTTTCCCTGTCCTTGGCTTTCTCCTTGGCCGTCAGCGTATCATAGGGCACCAGCAGAGGGTGGTTTCCACCTCCTAGGAGAAGGGCGAGACAGAACGGAAATCGGAAATAATCTGAAATGAGACGCGGGGGCCTGTAAAACAGGACCCCACCGCAGAACTTCTGGTGTCCTCTTATGTGCATGCATATGGGACTCATGCGACACTCTGCCATCACTAGTCAGTGCCTTTAATGTTCCAATTAATTTAGGAAATCTGTTCAAGGAAAGACTGCATATGCCTTATAAGAGGCAAGTAAATCATGAACATACAAGCATTCATGATATCAAGTGCCAATAACATCTGCAGTCACACAAGAAGGGAGAAGAGGCTGTGTCTCTTGTCCATTCAAACAGATTGCGAATGTGGAGATTCAAAACACCACTGAAAAATGCACGGCTGGATCTGGTGAAATTACAAAGCACGTTTCAAGGGACATGCTTCCTATTCCATCCCACAGAGAGAAGAGAAAAAAATGGTCTTATATGTGGAAATTTTACTATGTCTCCAGATCAGAGAGTATTTTATAGTCAACATGTATACCCACACCTAGGCTTCTCAATTAAAGGTTGATTTCTTTGGGGCAGCCAGTTAGCTCAGTTGGTTAGAACGCAGGCTCATAACACCAAGGTTGCCAGTTTGATCCCCACATGGGCCACTGAGCTGTGTCTTCCACAAGTAGATTGAAACAACTATTTGACTTGGAGTTGATGAGTCCTGGAAAAACACACTGCTCCCCCATTAAAAATAAATAAATAAAAGTTGATTTCTTTTAAATATCTAAGAAGAGCAACATACATAGTTGACTGACTAAAACTTTGGCAAGAGTCTAGGATTCCAGTTTACCTATTCTGGTGAGAAATACTAAAAGNGATAAAGCCCAAAAGGAGAACTCATGTTCAGATTTCATATAGAGTAAAATCATTCAAGAAATGAGGGAAGGGGAGCAGAATGGGAGAAAAGTACCCCCGTGGTTCCTGCACCTACTGGTGCTGAGAGTATTTACTTGCAGTCAAGTCATGTGTTTGGAGACAAGTGCATTCTGTAAAGAGGCAAAGAGCCAGTGGATATATTTCGCAAGCAAACATATCAAAGCAAAAACAAGATGAACTGTATACTGTACTTTAGCGAAGAACTTGATTTCTTGTTCGTAAGGGAAGTGCTCTCCTTTGCTTCTGCTGCCACCATCTGTAGACAGAAGAGTTTTTAGGAACATTTGCACTTCAAACATTACAGGATATCCACCCCACACGCAAAGGTTAGAACACATTGCTGAATGCAATACCCCACTAACCTGAATGTAAAAAGCCAACCAAAGACTAACTTTGGCAGCGTAATAAATAAAAAGGAATTTAAACTAACAGCCAAGCCCAAATTCAAAAGCTCTCAAGGACAGCCCAGATATGTGGTTATGAACACAAGTAGACTAGTGCAGCTCTGAGGTCTAACTGGCATGAAGGGAAAAAAACTGGAAGAATGTACAATGAAACTCCCAGCTATTAAAAGAAGCTCGCTGGGGTGAGAAAAATGAGTGTAAGGTGAGTCAGCATAACTGGTTCAACTTTGGCTTTGAATAAACACAGTTACTTCTTTGTGTGGCTCAAAGCTAAAGCTTCCACTATTAATATAACAACAAAAGCAGAAGGGTGCCAGCGCCTACACTGAGAGAAAGGATCACAATTGTGATACTAGGTTGAAACAGTGGCGTTCTGCTAAAGAATAAAGTTTACCTACATCAAAAGATAATTTCCATAAGCAAAGCAAAAACACCCAAGTGCTCACATGGTTGGGAATATGATTCCGAGGTTAAGAGCTGATTGACCTAAGGCACTTAGCTGAGAAGCTGGCCTTTCTTACCCCCTTCATGCACACAGAAGAGGTAAAAATGAACTAAAGTAACTGTGATGAGATGCAGAAAATACTGGAGAGCTGAACAACTCAGAATTAGACTCAAAGTCATAGTTAAGTATGTAAGCAGAGCTTCCATATTTTATAAGAATCAAACTGACTTGCTTAAAAAAGTTCTTTGGCAAGTAGAAATCCAAACGATTTGAGATACACATTCATTAAGCCTTAGACATACATTCAGGATAATTTGGGGGAATTTAGGTAATATTTTGTAATATCAGAACAGTGTTATTCCAACAAATAAGTAAAAGAAAATGATGGCTTTTTAACACTTGTGAATTTCATTTTTTGTATCACTTTTTCACTAAATTTCTCTTAGCATATAATGTAAAATGTCTCGATCCATGTAAAGGACTTTCTCACATAAACTCTGCCAAGACAGGATTTTGTGCATCGCTATACCTGCTAATATTTCAAGGAAATAGCTCTTTCATTATACATTTTATTAAAATGCTTATGTGTAAAATGTGAAAAAGATTTGGAGAGAATGTGATCTCTGATATAAATACAAAAATTAGAAAAAGGAACATGCATATTCTTACTTTGACCATCAGCCTACATCTAAGAAGAAATACATTAAAGATGTGTGGCAAAGGCAACAAAGTGACAGATAAAAGGGGAAGGACTTACAGATGTTTTATTTGTAGTAACAACGAAAAATGAAAATTAAACAAATGATGGTGCAGACAATCCCATGCACACTGGTTCCCCTAACAGAGTTCTTGTACATCATTTTCCATCACAGCCTCTGGAAAAGGTACATGTAATATCTAGCAACTGTAGGAAGCCCTATTTAGTTGGGCTCTCTATTCATCTAAACTTACATTCTCCCTGTGGAAAGAAAGAAGCGTGCTAAGTGGGTGAGTTTGCCCACTTCCTACACAAACACTGTCATAGGTCGTTTATTCAGAAACTTGAATACATTGTGAATAACACCTCAACACATTTTACGCTTCAAATTTCTGTTTCTGCTATCCATGCAGAGGTTAAAAAATAATAATAATAATAATAATTTTCTTGTTCTCTTCTCCAAATTATTACTCCTTCTTTGCCTCTTCTCCTCTCACTTGACAAAAAGGA